TTACATGAATAATCATGAATTTGCAGGGGATGGATACTGGTTTTAGTCTGTTAGATTGTGTCCTGCGTTTCTCATAAAATTAATGCCTATTTATGCGTGCAGGGCAAGTAAGCAGGCAACAACATTAAAGAAATCCTGCGGTGAAAAGAGCCACAGAGTGCCATTGCAGTAATTTCTTGCATATATTATACACCACACGTAAGTGCACAGTTTCTTGACAATTGGGCTGCCACACATAAAAACAACGTCTTTTCAGCTTTCCAGTTTCCACTCAGAGAAACCTCACAAATAATGCTTATTCAATTCCCAGCAGCTTCCCATCTCCTGACTCAGCCTTCTCTGAATAACAGTCAGGCATGTACATAACAAAGGAGGTTAAATATTAATGCCGAGGATTTTGTCGCTGATTGTGCTATTAACATGTAGGGAACCATTCACCCTTTCCACAGAAATAAACTCTCCCTACCGCATTCGGGGTCTGAGAAGTCAGAGTTAACCTGACAATATATTCGTTCATTTAGAAAGATGAAAATTGAGGAAGAAAGAGATGTATGAACCGCTCTTTAACGGTTCGCTGCGCTTGTGCTTGGGGTTTTAAACCTGGACTAACAGAAGCATTAGAAAAAGGTTTAAAAAAAGGAAAAAAAAAAGAAAAAATATAATGTTTAAGGTGATGCTGGAGGTCGCAGCTGCTCAGTGATGCACTGCATGTAGCGGAGCCTCGTGTGAGGCAGTGACAGCACTACACTTGAGTGGGTCCAACGCTGGCAGCACAGGTCCCACCAGGCTGGTTACCTTGGCCTTTGCACCATGACCTGCCAAGGTACCTGTGATTTTCCGCTCAGGCCTGTCTTATGGAATGGTTTCTGCTGGATTAGAGAAATTTAAGCACCCTCATCCCTTTACATTCAACCATTTACAGGCGGTGGTGCTGCTGCTGGATGTTGTCTGATGTTGCATCTCCCTGGCCCGTCACGCATCAGTGCCACCTTTTAGAGAGCAGTGGCTCCTTGGAAAAACAAAGCTTCTATGCCACAAATAGTTTTCAGCTAAATGCTTACTATTATGCTCATTCTCTATTTTTCTAGCATGGTATATCCTCTACAGCTCACATTTCCAGCTCCGGAAAATTGATATTGCCTCAGTGGCTGCACTTTTGCCCTGAAATCTCAGTGTCGGTGGTGTCGTGTGGGTTTTAGATAGTACTGGACCCCCTTTGGCTTGGAGGGCACAAACGCAGATCATGTTTTGCAGCCCATAGTCTTGGAATTGCCTCCCTGAGGTGGTGACAGGACTGACACTCAAGATCACAGGTTGTGCTGGGATTCCCCGGTGCTCCACGAGCTGCTGACTGTGCCGCTGTTTGGGTTGCTGAGATAATCAGGAGCTTGTGTCGGGCGGAAAGCGATGGGCTAATTTAAGGAAAAACAGTATTATTGTGCTTTATGAAAACAGAACCTTAGTCAGAGGAGCTCAGGGTTTCAGTGGAAAATATAAAATGCATTGAGATATTTTTTTCCCCCCATTTCTCCTAATTTCAGCCATTCATCTCTCCTTTTAACATTTCTAGACAGCGGGTTAGTCATGTGGGGGGCAAACCTCATGCTGCAGGAGTTACAGCATCCAGTGAAGGTCTTTTTCTGCTCCTGACCAGCACTTCCTTGGGCAGCCTGTTGCAATATTTGATAACCCTTTCAGTGAAGAAATTTTTCCTAATATCCAATCTAAACTTGCCCTGGAACAACTTGAAGTCATTTCCTCTTGTCCTATCACTTGTTACATGGGAGAAGAGACCGACCCTCACTTTGCTACTAACTCCTTTGAGGACTTCTTTAAACCCTGCTAGACATTAAAGCTGGCTTCTCCTGGCTCCTATTTGGACATCTCCAGGGCCATAGCGTGGGAGTGTGCACCATCACAGCTCAGCACTTTTTTGGAGGTCTTTTTCACTACTCTCTTGGGGCTCCTTGTGCAGACCCTGCAGGAGAGAGGGACCCACGAATGTGCATGTCAGTGTGTGCACCCACGCACGTGTGTGAGTGCCCGTGTGTGGAGAGGAACCTGAAAACCAAGCCAAAAAGCCCTGCCCTGAACATCTGCTGGTCTCTCAGCACCATGTGGCACCGAGTGCCTCTCACAGCAAGTGCCCTGGCGTTTAAGCGATGGCTCTGGCAGAGCCATGAAATCTGCGTTGTTTGTGTGTTTTAAGAGTTGTACTTTTCCTCTAATTATCTTCCTTTCACTTGACAGTCTGCAAGCCATTGGAGAGGCTGCTCCATCACTGCTTAATTTCTTGCTTTGCTTGGGTTTCCCTTGAACACCTTCCCAGCAGCATCTGAGCTCTGCTGAAGAAGGGTACCCCAGTTTGTCCAGCTCCGTAGCACAACACAAGGATCTCTGGTCTCTTGTTCGTGCAAGGGGTCAGAAGAGAAACCTCTGATGCTGTAGGTGGGACAAAAGAGGAGAATTGATTATGGCTGTGGTGCTCTGCTCCATTCACACAGCTGGGCCAGACGTCCCACCCCACCTCCCCTTCCCAGGAGGTCTGGGGCTGCTGGGTGAGCTATAGGGCCAGACTGAGCCCTCTTTGCCCATGGAACCATGCTGATGTGTACCTGCATGACCAGCCTTTACACAAAAACCTATTTCCCCATGATAGAAGAGCTTGTATCATTTTTTCCACCCCTATACCATGTCCTCATTTGTTGCAGCTCAGCTTTGTTTTCCATTTACTTCTCGCGGCTCTGAAACAGTTGGATTGCTGAGGATTTCATCAATGTGCTCTTTTAAATAGGAAGACGTGAGGCCTTCCCATCCTGCTGCCTTCGATGCCAGGCTCAGGTCTCCCGCTGGCACCATATGGCACTATGGAAAATGGTTCTTCTCCAGCTGAGATACCTGGGTACGGCTAGCGGTGATTAACAGAGAGATTCACAGTTCTGCCTAGGGTGCAGAGTTAATTAGAAACACTGATAATCACAGTGCAATGGTAAAGAACGTCTCCCAGATTTATTGCCTCCCTCCCTGTTGATCTTGCAATGAGAGAGATTTAATACAAGTTTACCCAAGCTAAAGCTATCCTGTGTAGTAAACAGTAAGTGAAATGGATGCAGGGACTTTTCTGGGAATAGGGAAAAGCTCAGCAGGGACACTGGGATTCTCACTTGGCCAGTCTGCCACGTCTTCCCTCGTTTGCAATCCCACTTGCAAGAGGAAGGTAACATGGGGCAGAGCAGCCTTCTTCCCAGGGCGGCTGTGATGGAGCTTGAAGAGCATCTCCAGGATTGCCCCAAAGCCCTCTCCATGGAAACACAGGTATGAATGGTGCTGTGCCTTCTGAGCGTGACCCACACAAAGTACAGTGGATCTGACACAAACAGAATTACTGTGATTTGAAGTATTAATGAGCTGGAGAACTCAAAGGAACAGTGACAGGCAAGCAAAGTGGTACTCGGTGGCACTGTGACAGAGTGGCTTGCTTTTTAGTTTTGCCAAGACCTTGATACTTGGCCTATAGCGTACGGGAATGGTGATAATAATTTGACTTCTGAAGTGCTCCCACATCAAAGCAATCAGTGCACTGTACCAAATACAAAATTCAATTAAACTAATGTACTGCACTAGGGAGAATAAAGCTGAACTTCAGATCTGAGTTCCAATTTTTAAATGAGTGGGTGTGAAAATATCTAAATTAATCACCTAATGCATTTTCCATATGGAAGTGGTGGCACCAGTACAGTCACAGGAACTGTACCAGCAAGCATCAGATAAAGAGAGGATTTTTCAGGCCCAATTTGTAAAGCTGGCAACAATTACAAACACACCTGAGCTGGAGATTCAAATCAGGTGAGCTGAGGGGGGAGCAGGCTATAAAATACAGGTCAGAGAAGAAAGGTAGAGACTGTGTCTGGAGGGACCCTGGAACCAGCTGAAGGAGTGATATCTCCTGGTGCTTATAGAGTCTGGAGAGGCTGGTAGTGCCAGCACTGCTGTACAGGTGGGGAAACTGAGGCACAGAGTGGAACAGTAGCTTTTACGATGTCACCTGCTGACCTGATGAGTGTCTGGGCTTACAGCTCCACTTTTTTGCTCTATCCCTTTGGCAAGCATGAGGGATTCATTCCACCCTGTAAGTAAGTCCATCTCTGTTTCCTTTCTGAGAAGCCTGTGGCTTCGTGCTCCTCTTTGGTGTTAGGTTACCAGAAGCAGCAATGGAAACCTGCCAGTGAAAATCTTTATTGCTCCTGTTGTCTGGATTAATTTGGGCATCTCTGCATGAAGAGATTTTGCAGGATGTGGACATCCCCTCTCCATGTGCACTGACAGTGCTGTTTTCATAGTTAGGAGCTGCTTTCTTTATTCCTTAGTGTGACATCTCCTCATGTTACCTGGTTATCTCTTTTAATAATACAAAATGATTATGGATGGATGGATTTCCATGGCAGACTATGTTCCACACTGTTGTGTCCACATGGGCTCTTGTAAGCACAAAATTGTACGGACAGTGGGATTTTTCCTGCTGCTGCTCTTCTGGCAGTAAACTCCCAAATTATAAACACAGGGGGATTTTAAACAGAATGGGTATATCCTGCGGTAGGATTATCCCTGAAACGTGGCCCCTTGCCCTCTAGCCATCCCAGGGAGAGGGGTCTTCAGTGTAGCACTGGTCTGATACATAAAGTGGAGAGATGAAGGATGCCAGTATAATATCCAGTCATGCTGGGATTCCCTTCTACTTAGAGCTAGAAATGTTCCTGTATGCCAGCAATTAAAAAAGAAAAATAATAAGAAATTCCCCTGTGCAATGAAGAACTCTGCTAGAGAGCTGCAACGTTTAGGCACGGGGTTGGATTTTATTACCGTGATGAAATTACACAAGCTTCATCTCTCTCTCTCTCTCTCCCTGTTCTCCTGCTGTGCAGCTTCTCCCTCTCTCCCCATCTCCTCATCTGCCTCCGCACACTCCCTCCCCGCTGGCTTTGCAGCTTTGGAGGCGGAGGAGGCGTGTGTGGGGGGGAGAGAGGCAGGGATGCAGGTGGGAGAGGCATCCCTGAGCATCCTCCCAGCCCTGGGCTCTCTGGGCTGGGATCCCCTGGGCTGCATCATTGGCATGCGGCGCCCGGCAGGACTGCATCACTGCTAGAGGAGATGCCAGCGCAGAGCCTCGCCGCACCGCACGCCGCGCTGCGCCGCCCGGGCAGCACCACCACCACCGACAACTTGGGGAGCCCAAGGTAAGAGCAACTCGCTCCTTCTGCTTCTCTGGAAAGGGGTGAGGGGCGAGTGGCGGAAAGCTTGGCAGCCTGTGGGGTCTCTGGGGGGCAGTTCTAGGGGCAGGGAAAAGCTGTCTGCAAAAAAAAAAATAAAAACACCAAACAAAAGTAAACCAAAAGATGCCACTGAAAAGGAGGATGCTCAAGGGTGCGGAGTCAGTGGCCGAGTTGGGATGAATCGGTGGGAAGTGTCAGGGGCTCCATTGATTTAATGGGATCGGAGGGGTCAGAGCAGTGGGGAGAGAAGCAGTGATTGGGAGCAGCCCGGTTCTGCTGCCGAGCTGCCCCTGCTCTCTGCGGGGAGAGGAGGAGCTGCTGCTGCCCGTTAGAGTTTTAACTCAGCTGAAGCAGTTTTCCAAGGAGTGCTCCTGGTGTGTGTCCAGGTGGCAGTGGGCTTGGGGAGGAGAAGCAGAAGGTATTTGCATGGGGGAAGGGGGCTGCCGAGTCCCATATGTGTGACTGTGTGGGTGGTGGCACCCCAGGGCTGGGTGGGGGTGTGCTGGGACCCACGCACTCACCGACCCTGGTCACCTGGCTGGTTACCACACTGCCAGCAGCCCGTTTAATTGTCCTGCCCTCATTATCCTCCCCGGTCTCTGGGAGATCTTAAGCTCCAAACGGCAGTTAGTCACCCCTGTTAGGAAGGATTAAATGAAGCCACGGAGAGAAAGAGATGATTTGGGGAGCTGGAGGGGCTGGATCTCTGAACGGTGGGACGTGGGTTCTCTGGTGAGAGAAGTTCCTGTGCATGTGTGCGTGCCTCTAGCACATCCTGTAACACATCCAGACCTACATCTCTGCAGGGACTGTTTTTCTTTGGGAGAACAAGTGTTGTTCAAGGGAGATTTTTCACTACACACATCAAACTGCAATAATAAGATCCGTAACACCAAGAGCCCATTAAAAATAATGGGTAGGAACTGAGTCCACCAGGACACTACTGGTCAGGGATGACCTCACCTCAGGAAAAAAGGAAAACCAGTAACAACCTGGTGATTATAATGTGTGGGTGGGGAGCAATGCAGTGCTCTGTGTGTGCTGAGGGGAACCCTTGCTGGGTTTAAGGCAGGCACTTGTAAGCACATACTAGAGCTTAGAGGGGTCTCCTGCCCCGGGGAGTCATGGCAGAAATTTCAGGTAGGATGAGAGTGAGTCATGTGTCTGACTTGGAATGAAAATTGCTGTTTCATGACTCCTCTGCATCTCTAGTGGTATCATTGGGGGAAGAGAGAGCAAAAAGGGTTAATTCTCTGGCTTACTTAGCCAGATATTGAATGCGCAATAATGCTGCACTGACCATCCCGGAGTGAAAACATTGAGCCAGATGCCTCTGCTGTTCATTTGGAAATACACCCTGGTGCCTCTGCCCTAAATGACACGTGGCCCTAACTCTTCACGCGGTGGGATGCCCATGGTCAGACTGCTCTGTCCTACAGGACAACATGGAGGAGGGAGTGGGAGCAGACACCATCCAGGGCTTCCTCCAATTCTTCTTCCCAACGGAAATCCCTCTTCCACTCTCCAGCAGAAAGAGGAGTGGAACATCTCCCTCCCCACAGGAGATCTGCCACAGGCAGCAGTCACCTACGTGGGAACCCTGGGTCTCAAGATCTCCATGAAGTCCTAGTTAGCTCCTGATCTCTCCCCTCTCTGGGCCCTGCTGGGAAAGGCACGTCCACTGGTATTAGATGAGCTCGGCCGGAGATCAGATCTGCAATGACACCTTTGGGTTTCCTGACACAATTTCACAAATGCGTAACGTGAGTGCTGGGGGAGCCCTCCTGGAGCATCAAAGCCAGACCCAGAAAGCAGCCAACAGGAGACAGCCTCCCTGTGCAGCTGGCCTGGTTAGGAGAGGTCTATCCCACAAAGTAGCTGTGCTATTCTGCAACATCCCTGAATGACAATTATTGATTGAGGCAGCTGAGCTGGTGGTGGAAGCCCAGCTTCCATGCCTCCTTGAGGCAGGCTGGGATGCAGCCCTTCAACCTGCGAGTGCACAGCTGGGTGCTCCCCAAAAAGGCAGCCTTGCACATGGAGATGATCTCTGCAAATCCGGCTGCTTGTCTGCAGGTTGGTGTGGGCACCAACTTTGGAAAGCACAACAAAAGCGAATGTGACAAACCCCACGATGAAAGTAGGAGCTCGTGGCCCGGTATTGGGTACAGGGAGTTTTGTTTCCAAACAGAAGTTGGTCCAGACATGGCCTGGTATTTGGTACAGGGAGTGTGTGAGTTTTGTTTCCAAACAGAAGTTGGTCCAGCCTGTGTCTGCAGGAAAAAGGCAAGATGCTGAGGATGCAGCCCCTTCTTGCTCGTAATAACCTCTGAGCTGGGAGCACTGCTTTTGGTGACATGAAGTAGGAGAGATGAAGGAAGCAGAAAATCCCCCATGATCCATGGTGACACTGTCCCACCTGTACAGCACACACTGCTGGACAAAACTTGGTGAGGCAGGTCTGGGTTTTGAAGCACAACCTGCACTTGATACAGCATGAGCCCTGCTCCCCTCCTCTCCTCCGCTGAGTGCCAGCCACCCAGGTCCTCCCTCCTCTGCTCGGAGCTGTTGTGGGTGGCCTTTTCCTGAGCTGGCCATGAAGTCTTGGGGTTGCTAATAGTCCTGCTGGGGAAGCCAAAGCCAGCCTTGAAAATCCTCTTGCTGCTCTGTCGGGTTGGCAAATTGATTTTCCAGATCATGAGCTGAACCTCTGAAATTGTTCTCTTTTGAAAAGATTATGGAATTACTCCCATGCTAATGAATGCTTTAATGTTACGGTGACTAAAAGTCCCATGAGGACTTTAACAGCCAAAAAAAAAGATGCTGTAGGAAAGGGGAGCCTGCGGCGGCTGTGTCAGACCTTACTTCATCATCTGGGGCAGAGGAGGAGGAAGATGACTGAAGCTGGAAAATGAGAGAAGGGTGAGGGGAGATGTGTGGACTGGTGGGAAGCTGCCAAATCCATCAGGGATACGTTCTGCACCTCCCAGCTTTATCCCTCTTTCTGCCAGGGCAAGCAGGGATGGTAACACCTTACCTACTGCTTTTCCTTTTCAGCAGCTCTCAGCTCGGTGCCTGGTGACCTGCCAGGAGAGCCCCGAGGGGAGGTGCCAGAGTCAGGTCTCCATCCCCAGCTCCCAGGGGCTGCTCCAGGGAGATTATCCCAGTTTAGCACTTAACCCTTCCACCCTCTCTGCTGTCAGGCTTTGTGGTTCAGGACTGTGACACTGGTTGCCAAATAGACAGTAGGACAATATATGCCCTGACCTCACCAAAGGAGTCTGGTGTTTATTAGGGAGAAAATATGCTTCTGGGGATGAGTCTGCAATGACCCTGCTGGCTTTCACTGAGCTACAGTCTCCCCTCTGCTTTACTAACCTTGGTTTTACTACGCCAGAACTCCATAAATCCACTGGTTACAACCGAGTTGTCCCGGATTTGAGGAAGAGCAGAGTTAACCCCCGAAGGTGGGATGCTGAAGCGGTGCAGGGACAATGCCTCCATGCCACAGGGGCTGCAACGCGAGGGGAAGGCTGGTCTATATTTAGGGAAGGGCTCTGCACAGAATGGGTAATCCTCTTTCCGTGAATTACCCAGCCTGGGGATTAGACTGCTTTAAACTTCCCCCCCCAGCCCCAATCCACCCCTGCTGCAGGCGGGCTAGCTGGGAGCCAGGGGGGGCAAGTGGCCCGAGGGAGGAGTGGGCAGGTTGCTGATGACTCATTTGGCTGCTGCCAGCCTTGCCAAGCCCTCCGAGAGGTCACGGCGGGGCCCAGACGCAGAGTGACACCCGAGTGACGTGCAAGGCAAAAGGATGCATTATGGCATCCCGATTAAGAAAGAACACGGAGCTTTATAAATAATTGCGGAGACGAGGGAGTGCGGCAGCAGGTAGGAGGAGGGAGGAGAGACCCAGAGCCGCAGTTTTCCGAAGTGTAATATCCTCGCTTGACTTTTTCAAGCTGTTTCTCTTACCCGAGAAAGGGATGCTTTTCCAACTGCAGCCGATAACGTCTGAGAAGGTGCCTCCAAACCCACCGCCTTGGGCTGGCTCTGCGATTCTGGGGATGCAAGTCAGGTCCAGCTGTTCGGAGTGCGAATGGATCACCGTCAATACTCCATTAAAATGTTGAAGGGAGGCCAATAGCACAGCTCGGGGACAGTGAGGGTGCAGGGGACATGGAATGTGGTCCTCCAGAACACAGTTTAGTGATTTTTTTATTGCTTATTTCTTATTTCTTATTTATTTTTTTGTTAGAGTTAGGTTGATGGTCGGACTAGATGATCTTTAAGGTCCCTTCCAACCTAGATGATTCTATGATTCTATGAAATGGGATGTGAGGAGAGAGGCAGGCTGGGTGGAACCAAAACCTGACTATTTTTCCTGCAGTCATGGGGCAAGGGCCCTGTGTGTAGAGAAGACAGATTTCTGACCTTTACCTAGTGGGCAGCTGCTAGAAAAAAAAGGAGTCCTGTCACTAATCTCACTCTGGGGACTCGTACATGCCGTAGAGGAGATAGACTTGTCACCCCTACATATGGGTCTTGAGACAAAGCTCTGGTGGGGAGAGGAATGAGGAAGGCTGAGCTGTGCCATGCTGGGCTGGGGCTGACACCCAGTGCTATAGGGGTGTCAAGGGGGCTCTTCCTCCTGGTGCTGACGGCAGTTGGGAAAGAGAGGGATCTGCTTGTGAAGTAGGAACAAAGTCCTTGTTTGGGAGACTGAGACACTTGGCACCGCTGATTTTCTGTGTCTGGGTTTGTGGTGGGGCCGTTCTTTTTCCTCCCCTTGTCTCTAGAAGCTAGGATCTATCTCAAAACTGGTGTGGTTTGTCTTCCTTCGCTCTGCTTTCCAGGGTTTAACTAAGAAATCAGTGCAGGGCTTTGATTTCCCTAATTCCCTTTGCATTTTACTGCTGCCTGGAGGTCTTGTCACTTTATCCTGGAGTTACATCCCCCTGGATGTAACCCTGTGGTCCCCCACAGTACAGCTGCCATTCCCCAGACTCAACCTTGTCACCCTTGTCTGAACTGCTGAAAAGACAGGTTTATTCGTGGGGAAGCCAAGTGCACCAAGGCACTTTATTGTTCCTGCATTTAAATCAATTTATTCTCCTCTGTGCTGCTTATCCTACACAAACTAAATCAGGACTTCGACCCTATTGTATTTTCCCCTGCCCAGAACTGGGACAAGCTGAAAGCCTCATCCTGCTGGTCAGCACTCCCACTTTTACTCGCATCATCTAGAGGATGCTGTTTAAATAACTTCAGGGGAGTTTGAGTTGAAGAAGGAATAAATGACCAGGCTCCCAACTCGCTCTTAGGAAGGGAAATATCTTGGCTGGCCCTGCAGCTCCTGCCTTGCCCAGACACACAGGCAGAGCTTGTTTCTGCATGTGAGGTTAGAGCTGGAAATCACCGGAGAAAGCCTGGATGGAAGAGGGAAAGCCAAGAAGGGAAACACCGGGGAAAGTCTTTGCCTTTAACGTGAGGTAGTGTGCCTTTCCTCCCTGCCTCGAACATCCTCAATTTCCTGTTTAACTTAAAAGTCAACACATCTGTCACGTTAGCATCTCCTGCTGCCTGGTTCCCCCCCGAGCCACCCCCCTCCCATCTGCTCTCCCTCCTGCCT